AATCTCCCCATAAGAATTAATGTAAATAGGGTGTGTGTGTGTGTGTGTGGGGAGGGGTTAGGTTCCAGGGAAATTTTTTTCACCAGACAAAAGACTATATCATATATACATACACACACAATAAATTTTAAACAAACCATTTAATACTGGTACACAGCGATGATGATTGTGAAGCTTGGTTGAGGTGGTGAACTAGCAATTGGTTGAGCCCTCAAGGGTTAACATATTGTTGTTAATGTAGCCTCACATCCTACAAGGCAGCACGAATGGAGGGAGGGAGGGGAGACAGCATGGCAGAGAGAGACACACACCGTGTGTGTGTGAGTGAGAGAGAGAGAGATGAACATTGCCCCTTTAAGTAGCTGATGCCACTCTAAGTACACTGCCTTTTTACGTTGATCAGCAAGCTGAGACAGCAGCTGCTGCCAGGAAGCTCCCTCCGTCCTGAGCCCTGTCATGTGTTCCCCCTGTTCTATGGAAGATGGGGTAAGCGGAGTGCAGGAGCGGGGGGGTGGGGGACACTTTCACATTAGCCCCCCTCTTTCCTTCCCCACCTCTCCCCCCCACGTTCAGCAAGCAGGAGGCTCCGGGGAGCAGCTCCAAGGCAGAGGGCAGGAGCAGCACATTGCAGTGCAGGGAGGGACAGCTGAACTGCCGGCAATTGGTAGCCTGCTGGGAGGCTGTGGCACAGGGAACTTAGGGGAAAGGGGAGCTGATAGGGGGGCTGCTGGTCCACCCTGGTTCCAGGCCCCCACCAGTTAGCTCCATCGGGCTGCTCTTCCTGCAAGCAGTGGACAAAGCAGGTGGCTGCCAAACGACATTATAAGGGAGCATTGCACAACTTTAAATGAGCATGTTCTCAATTGATCAGCAACGTAACAATGAAACAACATTAACTGGGACAACTTTAAGTGAGGAGTTACTGTACTTCCTTTACCTTTGTCCTCACTAGAGGTTTGAACCCTGGTTTTGTAAATTACTAGATCCTTGCTTGATTGGCTAAATGGGTATGTTTTTTCCAATAGGGTTAGCTCAATCGAGTTAGCTTTGCATGACCAAAAAGCTCTGACAACATGCAGGCTAAAATGTCTGAAGTTGTGTTATCAAGTCACGTTTTAGCATGGTGGGAGAAGGACATAGTCACCTTCACTGGTTACAGGCAACATGGTTCAATTTGTGTCCATGGAGCAGCTTTACTGCCATCACAACCATGTTTGTATGTCTGCACCTACCTTGTTTGTATTAATCCATTCTGGGAAAATGTAGGCAGCTATCCCATAGTGCTCCAGAGAGGCTAGAGTTTCTCCAGGGCATCGGCACGGAGCAGCAAAAGCAGGATGTGAGGCAATGCACTCTCGGATGGCTAAGTGCAAAGAGAGCTGGAAGGAAGAAGGACCAGCCAAACCAGTTACAAGGCATGGTTAGATATTCTTTATTATTTTCATTTGGGTTGTGCCTAAAGGTTCCAGTTAGGATCAGGGCCTCATTGTGCTAAGCACTGTACAAACACATAGTAAAAGAAAGTCCCTAAACTGAAGATTTACAATCTAAATAAGGGAGCAGCTTTTACTTTCAAGGCCTCTGAGACCAGGTTACTATATGGATCAATTGCTACCCTGGAACCAGATATTGTCAGGGAACAATTTAATCTAGTGGCAGAACAGGAGTGAGAAGAACTTCCGGGAGCACACCACCAGTGATGGATGATAAATAGGGTGGTAACTCATGAAAGATTGGCCACCTTGTTTCCTCATTTTGAGTTGAGAAATGAGTTGTTTTATTGAGTGGACCAATTTATCCAAAAACGAAAGAGTTTGGATATCTTACATTATGCTCGAAACTAGTTCAAAGGGAAGTTCTATGGCTTGTCCATATCTTACCCTCTGCTGGCCACATGGGAAGGGAGAAGACTCTACAGAGATTGGTTGCAGTCTTGATGGCCCATCATGAGATGGCAAGTTTTTGTGCCTCCTGTCCAGAGTGCCAGAAGGTGGCTCAGAAAGCTACCAGCCTCTTCTAGTTCCCTTGGTTCCAATGAGAAGTGGCCTTTTGGGAAGATTAGGATGAGTCTTTTGATCCAATAAAGAAAGACGTACATTAATTCTAGTAATAGTGGACTACGCCAATAGTTTTTGGAAGCTGTCCCACTTGGAACCTCACCAGAGAAGGAAGTGGTTCAGGAATTCTCAAAGGTGGGATTACTCCCAATGCATTTTGCATTCCAGGACACCAGCTTCATGTCTGCACTGCAGTGACAAGTAATGTGGCCTGCTGGAGGCCAAACCTGTGTGGGTCTGTCTACAAACACCCAGTCAGATGGACTTAACCTTTCTCTCCATCTATTTTGCTATGGCTCTATATCTCTGTGACGCCGAAGTAGCTCTCTAGCTCTGCAAGGCGGAGTGCCACAGCTACAGACTGCACTTACCAAAACCATTTGAAATTGCTCTGTGCTATATGGGCCTTTATAGTTTTCTAACCACCTCAGGGCTTCCAGTTTTTTGTACATCAAAGTGAATTTTTTTTTCATACTTGTTCATTTCTTCATCTCTTGCTCCTCTTCCCCTCACCTCCCCATAAAAAGGTACTAGAGATTTCAGAGTCCCCCTGCATATTTTCTTTAGAAGTATTTTAGACACATGGAAATCTTTCTTCTGATGTAATTTTGCAAAGCTTCCTTAACTGGAAACTTGCTTTCAGCTCCTAGCATTTTCCCCCATGCAGAAGTGCTTTAAATCCCATTATATCTCTAGGAGAGTCACACAACATTAAACACGAAGTTGATCAAGACCATGAAATTCTTGAGAGGGCTGGGAACAGAGAGGAGGGAAAAGGAGAAAAAAGATAGAGCAGAGTAAAGAGGGAAGACACAGGAATATTCATTGTTTACATATATGGACTACAAATCCAAGAACAGATGGAACATAATAGACATGGAGTTTAAATGGCACTCTAAGGTAACTAGTATAAGAAGTGCTGGGCCCGTCTCCTTTCCTGAGTGCCTGCTTTCACACAGGACAGAGAGGAAGGCTTAATGTATCTCACAGATAGAAATTGGTCTAATAAAAGCTATTACCTCACCCACATCATCTCTCTAATTGTCACATTGGTCATTGCATCCTGCTCCAAGGTGTCTAATTCCACTTTCAGGTGAGAAAGCCACTGTATCTGGAAGAAAGATTCTAGTTTGTTTTCCTTAATAAACTAGCTCCACTACTCCTGCAAGAAAGGGCTACTCTCTACTCTCACAGGCAGGAAATGGACAATTTCCTTATTAAAATATAAAAGAGGCAAAATGCGATCCACATTTTAAACTGAAATGCAGAATCCATCTTTATTTAATACGTGCTATGAAAAAATATTTTAATCTGCAAATAATCAATATTTAAAACAAACACTTCACATTCAGATACTAACCCTACTTTGATTACTGCACTTCTGCATTCCTATACACATTTGTCACCAGATTTGTTCACCCCCAGGTGAATGAGTATCCACACCAGAAGCTAACAAAATGCACTGTTTGTTCAGAATGCAAGGATTTTTAGGGCTGATTATAAAAGAGAAGTGGCCAAATTCCTTGCCCATGGGCAAATTAGGTATGGGAGTTAGGCCTTCAAATTTAATTATCTGCACCAGAAAATGTTTACACATGCAAGCTGTGAACACATATTTAGAGGTTAGACTGAGGGCCCTTTGGAAATTTGAAGCCTGATCCTGCTGTTCTTAGGCAGAATTCCTGTTACAGACAAAACCCTTTGGCCTTAATGGCCAGGGAACTCCATATGATGACAAATTCTTTTCCTGGCACAGAAAGTAATGAATTTCCTAGCACCTTAGAAAACATCATTAATGCTTCACCAGGTTTATTATTCCGCAAGATATCTTGGACATTTAATTTGCTGGCTAGCATTTTAGTGGTTTTTTTCTGATTTACACATGAGGATTCTCCCACTGGACCCCAAATAAAGAGCTAAAGAGCTCCTTCAAGAGAATATCACAACACTGAAGAAAATCCCACATCAGTTAAGTGAACTGCAAGGATTGTGTAAATTCAAAAGAATCTAAACTTCCGAACCATAAAGGACACAATGTGAGTAGCTGAGAGCTCTAATTCACCAGTGCAGTCAGTGGGAGGGAGGGCTCTTAGTCCTGCCTGTGATACGTTCACTAACTCACATGTGGGCTCTTATATTGCAAAAAAATAAAAAAAATGAAATGAATAATGTGAGCTCCTAAGAAGGAAAACTTAAAAATTGGAATACATTAAATATCTTACCAGTATAATTCTGTTATCAACTAATACAATTAGAAGCACTTTAACATAAGACTTTAGCTGGAGTGACAAAGCTTTAAAAACAACTACTTGCAAATGGCGGAGTTTAGGAGTAAAACGGTTTTGGCAACTAAGGCCTGAATCCTGCAAAGACTTAGGCATCTGTTTATCTTTATGCAGTGTGTGTGGTCCCCTTGATTTTAATGGATCTGTTCACAATGTGTGAAGTTAAGTATTTACGTAAATCTTTGCAGGACAGAGGAACCGTTTGGATCACAAACACTGACTTTGGCACATGCATAAATCTATTGGATTGAGGCCGATTCTTTGCTGAGTAGGGACCTTTATTTGCAACAAAGTGCATAAGTAAGTGCTTAGCTTAAGCATTTGTGAAGTCTTGTTCAAGTCAATGGCACTTAAGCACGTGCCTAAGCGCTTTGCTGAACCAGGGACAAAAATGCAAAAAAAACAGGAGAAAAGCATGAGTTCAAGAACAATTGCTCAAAGGTTAAAGAATTAAAAAACAAAAAAAACCACCCAAAACAACCCAAAAAGATTAAGCATTGTGCCAGAAACAAAAATGCAAACAAAAAGTTGATGAGAAAGAAGACATTTCTTTGTATGTTTTGAGGCTTATTTTAAAAAAGGTTATTTTGTTAAGCAAGTGAGGTATGTACAGTACCACCATGTTTTGTAAAAAAGTTAAAAAAGCAAAATTCAGAAGAACAGTTACAGAGAGGTTTAATAAATACACATTATAAGAATATACAGTTTAAGTCTATTTAACCTTTATAGTCCACATAAACATCTCTTTTATAGAAATTCCCTTTAATATTATTGTACATCTTACAAATATTCACCAGAAGCTTGTCTTCTATTGGAAGGAGATTAAAAACTGTCAGATCAAGAAGAAACAGTGTATTATGAAAACACTAACGCTTGCACTTACAGGATAATATAAACCTCCCTGCTTCGGCATCCAGCCCCATTGAAGTCAAGGGGGGCGCTTGAACTCAACACCATTTCAGGATCAGGGTTTAAACCAGGATCAATTTTTTGTTCACCCATTAAAAAAAAAAAAAAAAAAAAGGAACTAGTAAAGCTTCAGTCACAGATGAGACCACGCCTTTGCCCTCCCAATTAAAAATAACCGGCAACTCCAAAGTAGCCGATCGACTTAACAACAAAACAATTCAATGACGTTTGCTCAACCAGTATATAATGCCCTCAAAATCATTCAAACGCCTTACAGAAATGCTTCACCTTAATAAGTCTCTTTGTTGTTTCAGTATCCTTTTCTGACAACCCCAAATGAGCAAAACTCCGCCTCCAGAGAGCCAGTGTAGGCTACTTTTTCACAGTACATTGTAACTACTTATGTACAAGTTCCAATATATTATACATAAAAGAGCAGAATGCTGCCCTTGGGAGTTTACAGTGTAGGATCAGTTAGTGCTGTAGATAAAGTCTGATAATATGCTCAAACCACTTTCTTACTGTTTCAGGATATTGAATAGCAGTGAATCTGAGCCAGCTGGTACCTTCACATAGAGTGTGATGACCTTATCTTTTAAGATGTGGCATAAATAGGCAACTGGGGACGGATCACTTGAGGATGACCTGTTCTGTTCATTCCCTCTGGGGACCCTGGTACTGGCCACTGTCGGTAGACAGGACACTGGGCTGGATGGACCATTGGTCTGACCCAGTGTGACCGCTCTTATGTTCTTAAAGGACACTTTGCTCACAAATGCTTTGCTAGTACCATTGGCACATTCCACTGCTGGAGCATCTGAAGAGAGTTCATTTTCTTTTTTGCGCTCTATTCTCAAATCTCCTTCCATTTTGTTAAAAATAAGCAGTTTAAAGATTTACGTAAAATATCCTATCAAAATGAATCAAAAGGCACTTGGTATTTCTCTTTTGGCTCAGTTAAGGCATACAGCTAGCAGCTTCCCAAAACTTCTGTCTCTTCATGTGATAAACAGTCACCATCCTGAGAGATTGATGCATGTGCAAACAGGAAACAAAACAAAAACAGAAAACAAAAAAACTTCACCAGGAATTCACCAACTGAATTTCTCAATCCTCTCCTGGTAAATGTGCAAAATGCTCCACAAGACAAATTTCAAATACAGAATAATTTATTCCAGTCTTTTGAGGGTGGAGTTTTGATCACACATGAAGACCTTAATTCCATGTCTGAGATATCATAATTCAGTGTTCTTTAAACCTGTGAAAGAATAGCTAATATGAGAAGTTTGGAAGCAGTGCATAACAAAAGATCAATAACTTCAAAATGCTGTCCACATTCTTTGTTATACACTTTCCTATTCTATGCTGTATTTATAGATGAGAGACCTGATTTCACTAAGGCCTGGTCTACACGACGAGTTTAGGTCGAATTTAGCAGTGTTACCCCAATTTAACCCTGTACCCGTCCACATGATGAAGCCCTTTTTTCGACTTAAAGGGCTCTTAAAATCAATTTCTTTACTCCACCCCGATGAGGGGATTAGTGCTGAAAATCGGCCTTGCCGGGTCGAGTTTGGGGTACTGTGGACGCAATTCGACGGTATTGGCCTACGGGAGCTATCCCAGAGTGCTCAGTCGTGACCGCTCTGGACAGCGCTCTCAACTCAGATGCACTGGACAGGTATACAGGAAATGTCCTGCGAACTTTTGAATCTCATTTCCTGTTTGGCCAGCGTGGCGAGCTCACCTACACAGGCCACCATGCAGAGCTCATCATCACAGGAGACCATGCAGTCCCAGAATTGCCGAAGAGCTCCAGCATGGACTGAATGGGAGGTATGGGATCTGATTGCTGTATGGGGAGATGAATCCGTGCTGGCAGAACTCCGTTTGAAAAGGCGAAATGCCAAAATATTTGAAAAAATCTCCAGTGGCATGAAGGACAGAAGCGATAACAGGGACCTGCAGCAGTGCCGCGTGAAAATTAAGGAGCTCAGGCAAGCCTACCAAAAAACCAGAGAGGCAAACGGCCGCTCCGGTTCAGAGCTCCAGACATGCCACTTCTATGATGAGCTACATGCCATTCTAGGGGGTGCAGCCACCACTACCCCAACCCTGTGCTTTGACTCTGTCCAAGGAGTGGGAGGCAACATGGAAGCGGGTTTTGGGGCCGAGGAAGATGATGATGATGAGGAGGTTGTAGATAGCTCACAGCAAGGAAGCAGAGAAACCAGTTTTCCCAACAGCCAGGATCTGTTTATCACTCTGGACCCAGTAAACCCCGAACCCACCCAAGGCAGGCTCCCGGACCCTGAAGGCGGAGAAGGGACCTCTGGTGAGTGTACCTTTGTAAATATTATACATGGTTTAAAAGCAAGCAAGCATGTTTAATGATTAATTTGCCCTGGCATTCGCGGCCAGTACAGCTACTGGAAGAGTCTGTTAACGTGTCTGGGGATGGAGTGGAAATCCTCCAGGGACATCTCCATAAAGCTCTCCTGGATGTACTCCCAAAGCCTTTGCAAAAGGTTTCTGGGGAGGGCAGCCTTATTCTGTCCTCCATGGTAGGGCACTTTACCACACCAGGACAGTAGCATGTAGTCGGGAATCATTGCAGAACAAAGCACTGCAGTGTATGGTCCCGGTGTTTGCTGGCATTCAAACAACATCCGTTCTTTATCTCTCTGTGTTATCCTCAGGAGAGTGATATCATTCATGGTCACCTGGTTGAAATAGGGTGGTTTTAGTAAGCAGACATTCAGAGGTGCCCGTTCCTGCTGGGCTGTTTGCCTGTGGCTGCACAGAAATCTTCCCCGCTGTTAGCCACACGGTGGGGGGAGGGGTGAAGCCACCATCCCAGAGCATTGTGTGTGTGTGGGGGGGAAGGGGGGTGTTAGTTGGGTTTCTGCTGCACGTGAACCCGGAAACCGCAGCCCCTCCTTTTAAATCAGCAACCCATTTTTAATGGCCAACCCAATGGCTACTTCGTACGGGAAACGAGGACGCTGCTGTTTGAAACCATTCCCACACGTTATGAAGGTTAAAGAAGCCAAAAGACTGTGGCTTACCATGGCTGCTTGCAAGCTGAATTCTGCTGCCTGGCCCTGCGTGAGGGATCTCTCACACCAAACCAGCATACCCTCAATAAGAGGCAAAATGCGACCTTGTAATGAAAGCACATGTGCTATGTAATGTTAACATCAAGGTTTACCGTGAAAGAATGTACCCATTGTTCTATAAAATAGGTCTTTTTAACTACCACTCTCCCTTTTTTTCCTCCACCAGCTGCATGTTTCTCCTTCCCAGAGGCTAGCGAAGATTAGAAGGTGAAAAAAACGCACTCGTGATGAAATGTTCTCTGACCTCATGCTGTCCTCCCACACTGACAGAGCACAGCAAAATACGTGGAGGCAGACAATCTCAGAGTGCAGTAAAACACAATATGACCGCGAGGAGAGGTGGCGGGCTGAAGATGGTAGGTGGCGTCAGCTTGCTGAAAGAAGGCAGGAGTCAATGCTCAGGCTGCTGGAGGATCAAACTCATATGCTTCAGTGTATGGTTGAGCTGCAGGAAAGGCAGCAGGAACACACACTACCGCTACAGCCCCTGTGTAACTGACTGCGCTTCTCCCCAAGTTCCATAGCCTCCTCACCCAGATGCCCAAGAATGTGGAGGGGGGGCCTCAGGCCACCCAGCCACTCCACCCCAGGGGATTGCCCAAGCAACAGAAGGCTGGCATTCAATAAGTTTTAAAGTTTTAAAGTGCTGTGTGGTCTTGTCCTTCCCTCCTCCACCACCTTTCCCGCGCTACCTTTGCAGTTATCCCCTTATTTGTGTGATGAATAAATAAAGAATGCATGAATGTGAAGCAACAATGACTTTATTGCCTCTGCAAGTGGTGATCGAAGAGGGGAGGGGAGGGTGCTTAGCTTACAGGAAAGTAGAGTGAACCCGGGGGGGCGGCGGGTCATCAAGGAGAAACAAACAGAACTTTCACACCGTAGCCTGAGTCATGAAACTGGTTTTCAAAGCTTCTCTGATGCGCACTGCGCCCTCCTGTGCTCTTCTAACCGCCCTGGTGTCTGACTGCACGTAATCAGCAGCCAGGCGATTTGCCTCAACCTCCCACCCCGCCATAAACATCTCCCCCTTACTCTCACAGATATTGTGAAGCGCACAGCAAGCAGTAATAACGATGGGAATATTGGTTTCGCTGAGGTCTAACCGAGTCAGCAAACTGCGCCAGTGTGCTTTTAAACGCCCAAATACACTTTCTGCCACCATTCTGCACTTGCTCAGCCTATAGTTGAACAGCTCCTGACTACTTTCCAGGGCGCCTGTGTGTGGCTTCATGAGCCTTGGCATTAAGGGGTAGGCTGGGTCCCCAAGGATAACGATAGGCATTTCAACATCCCCAATGGTTATTTTCTGGTTTGGAAAGTAAGTCCCTTGCTGCAGCTGTTGAAACAGACCAGAGTTCCTGAAGATGCGAGCGTCATGTACCTTTCCTGGCCATCCCACGTTGAATTTGGTGAAATGTCCCTTGTGATCCACCAGTGCTTGCAGCACCACTGAAAAGTACCCCTTGCGGTTTATGTACTCGCTGCCTTGGTGCTCCGGTGTCAAAATAAGGATATGGGTTCCGCTATTGCCCCACCAGTTAGGGAATCCCATTTCAGCAAAGCCATCCACTATGACCTGCACATTTCCCAGAGTCACAACCCTTGATATCAGCAGCTCAGCGATAGCGTTGGCTACTTGCATCACAGTAGCCCCCACAGTAGATTTGCCCACTCCAAATTGATTCCCGACTGACCGGTAGCTGTCTGGCATTGCAAGCTTCCACAGGGCTATCGCCACTCGTTTCTCAACTGTGAGGGCTACTCTGATCTTGGTATTCTTGCGCCTCAGGGCAGGGGACAGCAAGTTACAAAGTTCCATGAAAGTGCCCTTACGCATACGAAAGTTTCTCAGCCACTGGGAATTGTCCCAGACCTGCAACACTATGTGGTCCCATCACTCTGTGCTTGTTTCCTGGGCCCAGAATCGGCGTTCCACACCATGAACCTGCCCAATTGACACCATGATGTGCACATTGCAGGGGCCCGTACTTTGTGAGAAGTCTATGTCCATGTCCTCATCATTCTCATCACAGTGCTGCAGTCGCCTCCTCCTTGCCTGGTTTTGCTTTTCTTGCAGGTTATGGTTCTGCATATCCTGCTGGATAATGCGCACGGTGTTTATAATGCTCATAACTGCCGCGGTGATCTGAGTGGGCTCCATGTTCCCAGTGCTATGGCATCTGCGCTGGAAAAAGGTGTGAAACGATTGTCTGCCGTTGCTCTGACGGAGGGAGGGGTGACTGATAACATGGGTTGGCTTACAGGGAATTAAAATCAACAAAGGGGGTGGCTTTGCATCAAGGAGAAACAGAATGGCCCCCTCAAGGTTAGAACTTAAAACCCTGGGTTTAACAGGCTGTTGATTTCACAGAGGGAGGGAGGAAGGGGGGAGAAAATGAATACAAAACAAATCTGGTCTATTTCTTGTTTTGATCCACCTTATCTATCTTTATACATCTTGCTGGCAGCAGACGGTGCAGTACAACTGCTGGCCATCGTCATCTCCTGCGTGCTCGGCAGAAGACGGTTGCAGTATGACTGCTGGCCATCGTCTCCTGGGTGCTCATTACAGTACGACTGTACAGTACAGTGAAATATGACTGCCGGCAGGACTGAATCGCCATGAGACAAAACTTAAAAGGGAAATGACCTGGCTGAGTCAACCCCATGTTTGCCCCGGCGCCCCTGACCGACCTTACCAAGGTCAGCTAAAAGAGCACCTTGGAGTATGGTGACGATGGCTACCAGTCATACTGCACTGTCTGCTGCCAAAAGGCAATGAGCTGCGGCTGTGTAGCAATGCAGTACCGTGTCTGCCAGCACCCAGGAGACATACGGTGACGGTGAGCTGAGCGGACTCCATGCTTGCTGTGGTATGGCGTCTACACGGGTAACCCAGGAAAAAAGGCGCGAAACGATTGTCTGCCATTGCTTTCACGGAGGGAGGGAAGGGGGGGGCTAACAATACGTACCCAAAACCACCTGCGAAAATGTTTTTGCCCCATCAAGCATTGGGATTTCTACGCAGTATTCAAATGGGCGGCGGAGACTGCGGGAACTGTGGGAAGTCGACGGTTGCCTCGGTACTGTGGACGCACACAATCGACTGTATAAAAACGCTTTCTACAAAACCAACTTCTATAAATTCAACCTAATTTCGTAGTGTAGACATAGCCTTCCACTAAATCAGTGGAGTTATACAAAGTAAAATGAGTGTAACTTCTCTGGGTTTACTCTGGTTTGAAATCAGAGTCACCCTTCCTTCCTGCCAACTTCTGAAAAAAAGTACAATTTGAGCTATTAAAATAAATCCACCCCCCAACCAACCAAAAACCTCATATTGCCAAGTTTCACACTCAAGAGTGAAAAATTAAGAGGGCCCCAACCTTTGGAGAAAACGTACAGAGAACGTGACAGAGAACTCAATTTTCTCTACTGTTTTAAAAAATAGTTCTGAAGAAAGAGTTTCATGATTTAAAGAAAAAGAGGTTACTCTTTACAATGCAGAGAAAACCGGCAGATTAAGGTACATGCACATAAACAAAGAATCCGTGATTTCTGCAAGGAGAAGGAGCACAAAGGTGGAGAGGCCAAGAATGACATATGAAAACATTTAATCATCATATAGAAAAACACAAGAAAGACTTACAAGGTCTGGTCCATCTTACACTGGAGTTCTTTTCGTATAAGACGGAGTAAGAACTGTACAAAAACAAATCTGGGTTAAAAATCTAGACAGGTGAACCACTCACCTAAGTTTTCAGTGTCAAACGCATACTGCAATTCTGAATTCTTCATTTAATGTTATCCCAGTTCAGCTGAATGGAAACCCATTATATTCGCACATGTTCAGTCAATGTTTGGAAGATGAATTTGCACCACTCATGTGAGAGGAGCTAAATCAAAGTCTTTCTCTGAATCACCAAGGATCCAGAGGTTATGCAAGGACTGGAGCTGATGGACATTTTTCAAATTAGGACATTTTTGCAGTCCCACCCCACATTGTGACAAAATTGAAAAAACAAAACCCATTGTTTTTTCAAATGGTTTTTTCCTCTCCCTCTCCCTGCAAACTTCTTTCCCCCCCCCCCCCGCTTCTGCCTACCTTTTCCGTGGCAAAGTGGGGCAGAGGGGAAGGGGAAAACTGGAGAAAACCCCCATCCCACCCAACACCTCTGCCTCCAATTTCCAAACATTTGGGATAACTATTTCAGACAAAAAAATTGTTCCACTTCTAAATCTGTGGGATGAAAAGGAGTGAAATTCATGGTGATTGTCCTCCCTGCCTCTCCATTTTTTACCAGTTCTAACAATAACTATTTAATTATTGTACCAGCAAGACTCTGACGAGACCAGCAGAGGGAGCCCAAGACTGCAGGAAAAATGGTAACTCTTATACCACCGTTGCTCTGAGACTATGGCCTGGTCTACACTGGGGGGGGGAGGGAAGGGATTGATCTAAGATACGCAATTTCAGCTACGAGAATAGCATAGCTTAAGTCGACGTATCTTAGATCGACTTAGAATCACTTACTTCGCATCCTCGCGGCGTGGGATCGACGGCTGCCGCTCTCCCCCGTCGACTCCGCTTCTGCCTCTCGCCCTGGCGGAGTTCCGGAGTTGACGGCAGAGCAATCGGGGATCGATTTATCGCGTCTACACTAGACGCGATAAATCGATCCCCGATAGATCGATCACTACCCACCGATCCGGCGGGTAGTGTAGACATGGCCACACATTTGGGTCTAATCCTGTAAGCAATTAAACTTACCCAGGTCCATTACTGACTGCAGGATCAGGCCCTTTATACTTATTGTCATACCGATTAATACAGTCCTCCATTAAGAGGGAACAGAAGAGTGATCTTACAGATGATGTTTGATGAAAAACCCATGCTAAGAAAATGTCAGTCTTCCATGTTTTCTGGCTAATATCAGTGTGAACCAGTTACAACTATTTTTAGAAGTGAATGCTGTGACTTTCCAAGGCACCTATTCCCCCTTTACACACCTAATTCCCATTGGAATTCAAGGGCCTAATTCCCTCATGCACTTTTGAAAAAAAAATCAGTTTAAAATATAGATCTTAAAAGTGCTATTTGTTAAATTGGGGGTGAGAGGGGAAGGTTCCAATAGCTGGATTTATCGCCCTGACAAGGAATTTACCCACTGGCTAGTAGAAATCCTTGCAGTACCAGTAATGGCTGAGTAAAGAAGCTATGCAATCATTTATAAACACACATTCATTCACTTGGAAACATCTGCTTCCCACTTGCTGGGTTCTGTCATCTATGATGGAAAGGGACATTCAGCTCCTTCAAAAGAATTGGATCTTGTGCCAGTCCATAGCAACATGAAAGCAGTTGCTTTTTAAGACAGCCCCTAATATCGGGACGTCTGGTTGCCCTACCTTCCCTGCATGTACGTGACTGAATTCAATGGAACTGTATGGCATATCGGACTGCCCTTGCAGATCAGACAGGAGAGATGGGGCCTGATTCTGAAGAGTCTAACAAAAATTTAGCCCTTCTGTTACCGCCTTCCATCAAGTGATAGCAAAGCACTTTAAAAAAGGATTAATAAATGAAGCTTCCCTAATCCTCTCTGAGGTGGGTCAGTATTGCCATCCTCCCTTGGCAGAGGGGCAAACAAGAGGCACAAAGAAGTTAAGAGATTTGACGAAGGGCATTCAGGAAGTCTGTGGCAAAATTAGAAACAGAACCTAGAGACTATATTTTCTGCTGCTGTAAAACCACTGAATTTAATAGAGTTACACCAGCAAGTAATTAGTCCACAGATCTCCTGACCCCTTATCTTTTGCCTTAAACACCACAGAAGACAACCTGCCTCGATAAGATAAAATAGGACAAGTCAAAAACAGCCTCTTTTCAGATGATCCCAGCCATTACACTTTTATGTCAAATAGGAGAAAGACACGATGGACATCCAATTGGAATATGTGACGCATTCAGTTGCATTTCCATGTGATACTGGTTCTGTGGCAGTGCAGCCAAATGTGTTACTATCTTAGTAAATTGGCGTTTCTGCTTCACTGCTGCCTTTAAAGAGAAAAATTTGTGCTTCCAACTACGTTTGCGGCAATCCCTTTGGTGAGCTACTGCATACAGATATCACCCAGTGAAGCTAAGCGGCTCTCCGGCTTCAAAGTTCAACAGGTTTCAGAGTAGCAGCCGTGTTAGTCTGTATTCGCAAAGAGAACAGGAGGACTTGGGGCACCTTAGAGACTAACCCATTTATTTGAGCATGAGCTTTCGCGATGAAGTGAGCTGTAGCTCACGAAAGCTCATGCTCAAATAAATTGGTTAGTCTCTAAGGTGCCCCAAGTCCTCCTTTTCTTTTTGAAAGTTCAACAAGAATTTCAAAATGCTCATCTTAGCTCTTTAAATAAAAACAAACAAAAACACCTCTACAATATGAATGGAAACTTCCCACTCAATAATAGAATATACAAATCACAATGACGGGAGGAAATTTCCATTTTAACATGAAGGGCTTTTTAAGAAAAATCTGGCACTAAATGTTTTATTTACACTTACTAGTAAGGCAAATGCATCTGCCACCATTAGCATGTAAAATACATTATTCCAACCAGAGGGAGAGATGAGACCAGCTAACAGAGGCCCTAAAGCAGCACCTAAAATACAATAGTGATACGACATGTTAAAATTCTGAGATGGAAACATTACTAGTTCCAATGACAAGATATTCCGTGTTTGGATATTTTACTCAGTTTCAACTTTCATAAAAGCAAACCCATTTTGGCACACATTTGTAAGAGGATCCATAAAGTTTATAGACAGTATATACGGCTGCAAAGCTGCCATAACACTGGTGTAGCCGGATGGCCAGTGGATGATTCCCCTTGGTTAGAGGCATCTGCAGATTGTGTAGGTCTATCACGGTGAATCTCTGCCTCCCTCACCACTGCTGGTGCAGAGGGCATAACCAAGGCATCCTTGATCAGGTGTCCAGAACATCCCCATGGCGTATACTGTTCTAATTTGTGCTGGGGGCCAGCCCACCACCACCAAGCCTGGGGAAGTAGAAAGGAGGCCTAAAGCCATCTTTGCCCATGACCCACTCCCAAAGTGATGCTGAATACTAGCCAGGTGTGACATGGAGAGAATCCAGCTTGACAAAGAGCCTGAGTTGATTTTGTAGCACTGACAGTTTGGGGGGGAGGGAGGGAGCCATCTTTTTAAATGCAAACTGCGCACATGTGATGTGCAAATCATTGAGACACAGACATGGAACTCCTTGATGCCAGCTTTAGTCCGCTTTCAGAGCAGAACTAAATTGTAATTCTTTAGCACCTAGAGCCACAGAAAGCCTCCTGCAGATAAGGCCGGCAGCTTCCAAACAATAGCTTACCTACAGAACCTGTTCCATCGATGATAGCCGTAACTGTGGACAGGGCTCTTGCATTTCCTTTCAGACTTTTATGGGTACCCTATCGTGACAAATACTCCATTCAGAACCATTTACAGATGAGCCTGGGAAATGGCCATGCATCTGCCTCATGCTCCTGGCCTTTCCCATAGAAAAACATATCATGAAATAATGGACAAATACATGTTAGCATGAACTTTACCAAGTAGCCTTAAATAGCTATGGACAAGACCCTTTTATCATTGCCTAAAAAAAATAAAAATAAAAAAAAATCACCCATGACCAATCTACTTTAATGATGTTCTTTATAAATAACCCTTTCTATTCTGCATGCAAGGTGTTCAGGCAGAATGGGCTGCACTTCAAGCCCGCAATTTTTCGCTGAAACTGCATAGTGGTCTGTCAGTACAGCCACTGTTGATATCAGAAAGCTCTGCAGAACAGAAGAGAATCACTAATTGGACAAGAATACTAACAAAGCTAGAGTATCAATGATAAAAGCCATATCAAGGCCCACTCAGCAGGTTATTGAGTCAAAAGGCACCAAAAGGAAGTAGTTGTGAAGGCCATTTTCATTAAGCCAGTTATTCAATAGGACTGCAGAGCAAAACTAATGATCATAGGAACAATTTTATAACTTGGTATATAGGAGACTTGAATGGTTCAGAGGATTGTTAAGAAGACAGAGCCTTTCATTTACTTAGGGCACTGAGGAGAATTCAGTCTAGGTCACCAGTCACCTAAAGTCATTAGTGTCAGATGGTTGTTCAGTGACATACGAGAAAATCAGTTGGCAGTTTCCATCCAGCTCCCAGAGGGCAGGTGTCTATGTGACAAGATCCTACAGTCTAGCTGCCAGTCACAGCAATGAGACTATTGACTGAATGGACCTGAAGGGGGAGCTCTCTCTCAACCCTACAGCTCCCTTTTGATCACTAAGGAGGCACAGGAGGAATGCTGAGGTGGGGTGTGGATTTAAATTCTGCTGCCTTTCCTGTACCTATTCTGCTGGTGAAGGACCTCACTCTGTAGGGCTCTCACCATCCAGCACCTTTCAAAGCAATACATTTACCTAGCATTGAAAAAGCAAAATTGAAGAAAAGGTACCCGGGCAATGTTTTCATGGAGCATGTGCTGCAGTCAGACCACAAGCCTGCAGGGCCTGGTGTGGCAGGGCAGCAGGGCACACAGGCTGACTGGGGTGCAGTATATGGGTGAGCAGAGGCTAACATGAGCAAAAGGAAGGGCAAGCACCCGCTGGTGTCCTCCACACCTAATGGAGAGAAGTCTCCAGCCCATTGCACACCTGATCCCTTACTCTCAAAGGTGCAGGGTAAAAAAAGTGCAGGATGTGGGTGGCAAATGGCAGTCTAAAGAGACATGGCCTTAATGTGCGTTCTGAGGATCACACTTAAGTGTTTATCTAAGAGATCCCCTCTTTGATCTCCTTACGAGGCAGGAGTAATTTGGAGGAGGCCACTCATCTGTATTAATGCAGGGTTGAGTTCTTTAATGCTCCCCATCCTGCTCATTACTCTTTACCTTGTACACAAAAGTACAACCCCCACACACACACTACATCTATACTACACAGAATTGAGCCCTCAATGCTTTACACACATTTACTACTCGTCACAGAAACCAGGCTTTCCCCCGCAAATGAAGGCAAATGAGCAGGACTGTCTGCTAAATGTAAAACAAAGAGCCAAACTCACCAAGTCAGCTGAGACCGCAGTTGTGATCAGCGCATAAGGACCGTTCACCAGGGCTCCACTGATAAGCAGCATAACTGTTGGAAGTTCGATGAAGAAAAGTAAACACAAAGTTTCCAGAATTTATGTTATTTTCCATCACAACCCCACGTGATGATCTAGACCTTGATCATTCAACATACTACATATCTTTAATAAACGCAATGTAACTACAAGAGTATATTCATGGGAAGTACAATTTTGTACAAGTACAATTTTGCTTCAAAATGGCTAACAAGGCTACCAGGGAAAACAAGGGTAAAAAGCCATCTCAATAGTAATGGACAGATTTAAGCACAAAGGAGTGTTTGCTTTCAGCACAGTGGAGAACATGACTATGTCCGTCACCAACTCTTCAGCTGCTTGTGCCTTTTAAGACTGTAAACCCTTCTGGGTGGAGATGAGTCCTTTATCGGTTTGTACAGGGCCTACCACAATGGGGCTCCAAAGCTCAACAGGGCCTTTGGATGCTTGTGCCATACATATAAAACCTCACCACCAGCACTGCCTTCACATTTCAACTCCTCTCCTTTTGTATTTGGTAGGAGGCCACAAATAAACTGAGTTTATCCAAACAAAAGGTCAAAATCGCATCCCTTTAAGTTTATAAGAGAATCTTTAACCATTTCTGGTACTTGGAAGAGGGAATCAAGCATTCTCAGTTCCAGGTACAAAAAACAGTGTTATTCACTGGTTATTCAGGGTTCTCACTCCTCACCCCCACTCATTTCCTGACCACGCAAAAAGAAAAGCCCCTTATCACGGCTTCAGGGAGGCAAGAGCATTTTCGTTGATGCATGCTGTTCTATCAGTTTTTCTTGATTAAATTCCCTCTCTCCCATCTCAACTCAGTCATGCTTATGGCACCCAGAGATGTATCCTTTTAACAATGATTCTAGTCTGCAATGAGCCAGAGAGTAGGACTCCCAACACCATTAAACAGAGTTATCCGACAGTGTACATTTTGGGGCACTGGGTCAGGTCAGAGGTGCATTCTCCTTACAATTACATGCCTCTATTTGAGCTTCCTTACAGAAATATTTGACCACCTAATTCCTAATAATTCTCTACACATTATCAGCATGCTTCAGTCCCCAATCCACTTGAGGAATATTTTTCCTGACCCCTAAAAATGCAAACTCACAAAGATATTCTTCATTTAAAATAAAATTGGCCACTGAGTTCCCAGGATAATGTTTGTGGTTTTATACATATATTTCCTGTTTCCCCCTAGTCTTTTTCTCTCCCTGCTGGTGTTTGAAAGACTCGAGCAAACAGGGAAAATGGTGAAAGTTGCTGTACAACATACAAATGTATAAGCTAAAACTGGACAAGACTTTAAAAAAAATGGTTTTCTTCTAAGATGTTTCAGTGGTTACTTCTAACAATAATAGGTACAACGTTTGCAGAGAGAAGTTGTGATTTTTAAGGTAATTATGTTCCTTTCTGCTTCCAAAAGGAGATCAAACTGTTCCCATTAATTCAAGAGTATTTTGTCGTCTTTGGATTTCCTTATCTCCCTCCCCTGACAAGGGCTCTCCAGATTCATCAGTGTTTGAGGCTGAGAGCAATGAACTCTACTCCTACTTTTAATCTGCCTTTCTGTAAAGTCAAACAATGGCCCAGATCACACTTCCAGCCACTCTGTGCATGATTCTCACCCTCCTGAGTGGCAGGGACACCATCCTCCCCTTCCTAGGGTATTGTCCTCCTTCCAGGCCCACAGAGAGTCTCTGGAACTAGTGACACAGCCTGGACGAGGCATTAGCTTTCTAGCAGAAGTCCTTAAGTGGAAGGGAACCGACATTTAAGGGCGTGTGTGTGTGTGGGGAATCGCAGGGGCAGCAAGGCAATGGAAGGTCCTGGGAGCGTGACTCCAGTTCAGCTGCACGGCCAGGGAGTTTGATGGGAAGCCCTAGAGAACATCCCCTCCAACAGAATGGCTGGGGAGAAACTCTGCAAGGGGAACCACACAGAGAGACCTCCTTCCCCTCAGCCCATTCTGTCAGACTGCCCCTCTTGTGGTACAATCTGTCTAGATGCAATTCGGAGCTGGTCAAACAAAGGTGCCCCCCCCCCCCTTCAAAAAGTCTCCTTTTCTCAAAATTGGAATTTTTTTTGGTGAAAATGTCTTAGTTTTGTGTGCTCGTCTGTCTGTCTTTTGGGGGGAGGGGGAGGGCTCTCAGTTCCCCCCCCCCACCCTTGACCAGCAGTGAAATGGATAAAAATGGGGATGGGGGGAGACGAGAAATTCAAAAAGCAAAAATTAAACATATTTAAACCAAAAAGTTTTTCAAATTTTTTTTTATGAAACATGTTGAATGGAGGAAAAATATCATTTATTTTTGAAATCCCTGAAATAAAAAGGGCTTTGAGTTTTCCAAGGTTTTTGTGAATGAGGTTTTCCATGTTTCGACCAACTCTAATGCAACTATTTTTCCTACGGCCTGAAATGAAATAACTGTGCTACTGAAATGCTGTCCCTGGCTCTTTTCCTCAGGGTGGTTCATGGCCTCTAAAGAGGCTAAGCAGAAATCCAACTGACTTCACTGGGAGCCGCCGGTGTTCAACACCTCTGAAAAGCAGACAATTAGTTTCTAGACTTTTCCCCCAGAAAAATCAGTGTGAATGGAACAAAAGTAAAAGAAAACTAAGTCCAGTTAAAAGCAGGCAGAATGTAATTTAAGTTCTCACCTATGGTAGCTTCTAGGCCCATTTTACTGATTGCAGAGAACATGTATAGCTGTAATGGATATGAATGGGTAAACATTTAAGTAGTAAAAAACCAGAAAAATAAGGTTTGATTCTATTTTCACGCTTTTACCAGCATAAATTCCCACTGAAGCTGAGTGAGAGCAAGTTAAGGCCCCTGCGCTTCACAGAATTGTAGGTTTTCACACACACAAAAAATCACCTTAATGTCACAACATGAAAAATACTAGTTGTCTGTGTGATGAAAAGTTGTTTGTTATTTTTGCTGCTGGAGTCCCCAGGCATGGAAATCACAGTCAATTTCCCCATGCGGCTGCCTATCTCACAGGGGTCTCATAGAGATAGCTAATTAATATGACCATAATTTTTTAACCCGTCAGACTTTCAAACTAAACATAGCACAGAGTTCTGCTGATTCTGGCAAGATGAGTGTATGCATTGTAGAAGTACACTATAAAAATCACAATGTACATATGTGGCAGCCAGACTCCTAACATTAACAGCTCAGCAATTTTGATTATTTGGTGGTTGTTTGAAATCAAAAAGACAAATCACTTGCCCAATTCTGATTCAGAATTGAATAACTGAGTAAAAGGAGTGCTGTCAAAGCCAGCTGAATGTGACAATTTTTCATAGAGTTCTGTAGCATATGACGTGCCAAAGAATGGCGTATTTAATTTATTAAAACCAGCCCAAACCTCTGTGTTGGCTCTTGTGCAGAGACTTTTCAGAGCCACTTTCATCCTGGGGTGAATGATCAGAGACTGCTGAGAACAGCAATCTCTAATGGAAATGCTCACAGAGCCTCACCCAGTCGCACAGAAGGGCACAACTAAAATAAGGAGAGTAGATCTTACGGCAGGTGCTGCTAGCAGTAACATCATTCCACAGGTTGAAGCCCTTTTTTCCAGTCTATCTGATATCATGCCTGCCAAAATGCCACCTGAAAAAGAGACACATTAAAGAATAAATTTGATGAGCATTTTATGCAATATAATTGGACATATATTTCCCCAAAGTTACAGCAATCCAGTGTAATTGTTCTAAAGGTATGCTTCTGTTATACACACACATAAAGCATAGGACTGAAAATCTAGTTTGAGTTAGTAGCTTTATCATCATCATCTATGCCACAAATGATTCGACTGAGCTGGACAATCGCAACGGGCACTGTAGTCTGTCTCATTGGCTCCTTCTGAGGTCATCTGTACACCCAAGATGATGTAATTGGTGGGGACATCTAGCGTATTGCTGTGTCATTAGTAGAGCGGCTCGCCAGCATTTTCCAGCTCCTGTTTTGGAACCCAACTGCGTCAAACAAGCCTCTGGGGTTGAACCAATGAATTGAGGCCTCCATCTCCTCTGGAGGAAGAATAAGCCTAGCCTCAACACGTAGGATGTTATAGTCTGACCATGACAAAAGAGCCATCATCATAAACCCTGTGTCCCATCCAAATTCAAGTGTAAGATCCAGAGGTATGCCACCCACATTTACTGAGCCACAAATCACTTGGTAGGATGTACCAGAAGCCACCTTGTGTCTGCTTTCAGTTAATACTGGATACATCCTTTGGTTACCCTGGCAAGGATGCAGTAGAGATTTCATCTTGTCTCCTTGTGCTGCCCTGTCTGCCTGTCTCCTCATGTTGCCTCTTGTCCTATACCTAGATGGTATGCTCTCTAGGAAAGGGGCCTCTTTTTTGTTCTTTGTTTGTCCAGCGCCTCGCACAATGAGGTTCTAAATTCATGACTATGGCTCCTGGGTGCTCCTGCTATACAAAATGAAATAATAATAATAAATCCATTTCTCATCAATGCGTTAAACCCAGAAAATAGCCTGCATCAGGGAGAGAAAAGACCCATGGATCGATATTCTGCTAAGCATGTGGACGGCAGGAGAAATAACCCCCAAATTACAGAAAAATACTTTTGAAGTGCTCATTCCTATTGCATTTGACCCAATTATTATAGCCCTTTTGCGATAATTTTTCAAGTGCACTTTTGTTTTCCCAACTCTTCCATAGTCTACTGTCCCCCTACCTCTTTTCAAAGGGCAGCCCTAACAGCAAAATGCCCAGTTATATGTATCACACAGACGCATCTGGGTCCCCATCAAACTCTACAAGTAGCTATGTTGGTGGCTTGGATTTGCAGCCGAGTTGAGATTTGTGTTTAGACTGCTGAATAAAATCTCTGTTCTTGTGGGTGCTAACTTGGTTTGGTCTACACTTAAAAGAGGTCAACATAGCTATGTTGGTCAGGAGTGTGAGCAAGCCCACATCCGACTGACATAGCTATGCTGAAATAACCAGTGGCGGATTAATGGTTTTGCCGCCCCTAGGCCCAGAAATAATTGCCGCCCCTTCCCCCCCTGACCTCACCTCTGCTCTGCCTCCACCTCCTCCCCTGAGCGCGCCACTGGGTCCTGCTTGTCCCTGCCTGCCAGTGCTTGTGCGGGAAACAGCTTTGCAAAGGAGGGGGGAACAGGGGGAACGCGGTGCAGTCAGGAGAGCAGGTGGGGCTGGGGCGGGGATTGGGGAAGGGGTGGAGTTGGGGGGGAATTGGGGCGGAGCCAGGGGCGGAGGGCCCGAACCGGCACTGGGGGAAGCAGCCTCTGGCTGCTATTATAAATTTGCCGCCCTAGGCCTTGTTGGCCTAGGCGTTAATACGCCGCTGGACATAACCCCAGTGTAGACACAGTTATGTCAATGGAAGAATGCTTCAGTTGATATAGAATCAGAATAATAGAATTACAGGACTGGAAGGGACATCGAGAGGTCATCTAGTTCAGTCCCCTGCCCTCATGGCAGGACTAAGTATTATCATAGCTACTGTTGTTCCAGGAGGCGGTGTTCTTAAAGTGATGGAAAAACCCCTTCTTTCCATGTAGGGTTCCTCTACACTACAGGGTTATGCCACCATAACTACAGCCATGCAGCCACACTGGTATAGTCTCTAGCACGGAGATACACCTACCTAAGCTTGCTTTCAATTGCATGGTGTGAAATTCACTTCTCCTGCACAGAGCCTGAGTGGAGAGCACTAGTGAAGGTGAAATTCAGGGCCAGGCTAGAGCAGTGGCTGCAACCCCTTTCTGTCACTTGCTCAGTGTACTGGGGGCCATTAGATCTACATAACTCTGGATCCAGTGAAACCTCCTCCAGTTCACCCCAATCACTGCCCTCCACTGAACTGGCATGGAGACCCCCTCTGTGGCATATGGGTGCAGAGGAACTGCAAAATTGGTGTAGTTCTGCTATGCAAGGGTGAGGACAGGATACATTTTTGGGGTAGAGGTGTGGTGACAGAGGGGAAGAGAGGGGTAAAGGGCCAGGGCCAGAGGTTTCTATGACACTAGGATCCTCCAATCTTTCTTGCACCAGGATCACATAAGGGGCTGTGGATTCATTCCCCAAGACCTGCTACTAAGGCTGGTCACATGACATACGATTTGGCTATACCATCCCCATCCTGCTCCCACTGGAGCCAATTTTGCCATTTTCTGGTGGATGCAAGACCAACCCCCAATTTCTTACTAAAAGAGTAAAACAGCACAGCTGTGTGTGCTACAGATTTTCTAACCTAGGTCTGATTAATAATAGTGTGTTAAACTTACCAAAGATTCCACCCACATCAAACAATGTGGAAAGATCCCCAGCTCTTTTTGCATCAAGATGCTCTGACAATAAAAGCAGAATAAATCTGATTAGAATAGCCTCTCACTTCAAAACTAGGAGAAATTTATTCATTTTATTTAGATTTATATGTAAAGCCTGGTCCACAGACAGCTTTTGCTCCAGAATAATTATGTTAGCTAGTGGTGTGATTTTTTTTTACCCATCTAGTTACAACCAGTACAACTTAGTGTGGGTGCCGTTATAATGGGACAAAGGTGCCTTACCCCAGAATGGCTTATTCACAGGAATAAGCTTTACTGGTATAAATACCTGTATACTGATATAACTGTGTCCATACTAGAGGGGCACATACCACTTGAGCTAAAGTGGTAGAACTTGTGAGTGTACACAAGAATTTCCTGGTTCATTAGCAGCGGTCTTAAAAATAATCAGAGCATCACACTACTAGTAAGTACCAATAAGGAATGCTGCTTTGTTTCAGAAACATGCTTGGTACAAATTAAGGCCACATAGGGAGCCTAATCCTGAAGCCCTTACTTACGTGACCAGTATCACTGATTGACTATATTGTGTTGGTTAAACGCAGCCTGGAGTAAGGAACAGTGCAAAGCTGCAATGCCCCAGGAGCAGAGGGAGGCAGAATGCCTACTTGATCACCCCAGCATGCAGACGGACACTCCTGCAACTAGATTATAAACTATATCCAACAAAGACTGTGTCTTTGTATGTGTTTGCACAGTGCCTAGCACCAAGGGGCATCTGCGTGCTACTGCAACATAGGGTGGGATATTCAAAAGCACCTAACGGAATTTGATGCCCGATGCCCCAATGTTCATATAGTAAAACTAATTCTACTGTTTTAAACATAAAACTTATTAGCTAATCTACTCCCTTCATCAAACCTATTACCACAGAAGTACTGGTTACTAGGAGGGCATACTGTGCCCTGTCAAAGGACGTAGTGAGCGTCCCTACTGCACACACTTCCCTACAGGCATTCTGCCTGCCTGTCTCTTCTAGTCATGAGGCTGTGGATTTAAAAGCCAGAGGATAGCCCAAAGAATAGGAACTTCTCGGGGCAGTGTGCCTTCCTCTATATTCTATATCGCACAAAGCACAATGATAGTGATGATCTAATAAAATAAATAAATAAATAAATAGTAATAAAGTCATTCCTCTGTGCAGCTTATTAAGCTCTTTGGGATCCATCAGGATGTAAGGCACCATTATAAATATATGATTATTACAGGGTTTTTTTAATGAAATATTTTTGGCTGGTTCTCAAGAGCCAAAGACATTACAAAGACTTGCAATTTTCAGAGAGAAATCAGACGCTTATTTTTGTGGTCACTATCTCTTAATTCTCAGAACGTATCATTGACATATAATAAACGGCAGTCTTTCAACTCTACTAGGGCAACCATAGCTTAAAACAAAAGTAGTCATGTTTATTTTCACGTGACTAGGCTCATCATAGTCCATGACACCACCCCCCCCCCCCCGGCTGTTCCTCAGACGTTCTTGTCAACTGCTGGAAATGGCCCACCTTGATTATCACTACAAAAGGTTCCCCTCCCCCCCCACCCCCGCTCTCCTGCTGGTAATAGCTCACTTTAAGTGATCTATTATGGTTACAGTGTGTATGGTAATACCCATTGTTTCATGTTCTCTATGTATATAAAATCTCCCCACTGTATTTTCCACTGAATGCATCCGATGAAGTGAGCTGTAGCTCACAAAAGCTTATGCTCAAATAAATTTGTTCGTCTCTACGGTGCCACAAGTACTCCTTTTCTTTTAACTAAATACTTGTTTTCCTCCCACAGATACTTACCTACATTTGTGATATAGAGTGGAAGCCAGAAAAGGAAAGTGTAACTGACCAGTTTAGCAAACAACAAACAGAGAGAGAATTCTATGACTCCCTAAGGTGAGAAAAGAAAAAAGAACAAGGTTAGTACCTAGACATGTGTTGTTGTTGTTTCTTTGCTTCTGTTAAATCACACCATGCAAGCAATCTGCAAATGGCATCTTAATCCTTTCTGTCTCAGGAATTTCTCCCTTGAGTCTTCCTGTTCTGGAAGCATGAAGCTTGTGATCAAAGAAGATTGTAGTATTCTACTTGTATATCTTTCTCTCTCCATGTAACTGTACTGAGCTAACCAAAACCAGAATACTAATAAGGAAACATAGAGCTTATAACCACTTCAGAGATTGACAGTGATTTTCTGTCATGTTATATGCATCTTCCCTTTTATAGAACTGATCTGGCACATACTGTTGTAACCTGGGGTGTTTTCCCCATCAACTTAAATTGGGCCCAGATTTCACCAGTAGTATTTATTTCTTCAAAAATCCAAACAGTCCATATGGTACATGGTCTCAAAGAGGTGCCTAGTTAGGACTCAGCTCAGTAAAAGTGGGTGCTTATTTAACATACAAGTCTCAGTATTCTTTTACCCTATCACCTTAACTGAGAATTCTATGTAAGGTTCATTTATTATAAAAACACAGCTGAAGTGTATTTGACTGCCACATAAACCTGTTCCTGTCAATCCTTCCCCCACCATTTGTCATCTTCTGGCAGTAGTTTGGGGTTTTACACAGTTTTAAGTCCTTGCTGTTATGCTACTCCTGCAGGTGTCAGTATGGATTGCTGGAAATTCGCTCCCCTACCCCACCCATTCATGCTTTCCCGTCCCCCTCAACACCCTCCCTCCCGCACTACCCACCCACCCACACCTTGCTGTATTTAAAGTGTTATTCATTCCCACTGGCAAGTGATGGAGAAGTGGAGGGGGAAGAATCAAGACTCAAGGAGAAGGCAGAAGAGGATATTTTAGATACTATATCAGGATCAGGTTATGGTTAGAATCTAAGGGTACAGGAGGGTAGCATATAGAGCCAGGAACTCTTTCCTACATTCACACTGGCCCAATAACAGTTCAGCCTGGATTTCATTTGTGTTTCCTTGATCAGAGCTATTACCCTGAATTTGAACAAAGCCCCTTTCCTTTTATCCAGCAGCCTGAAAGTTTGAGTTGCAAGATGCTCCCCTACATAAGCCATAAAATGTGCTTTCAAATTAGGAGCTTTTGAAAATGACAATTATCATTTATGAACCTACTACTGATGGAAGTCATCTGCCTGAAGAAGTGATGCCATTTGTGACACTGGCCCAAATTAAATCCTACTATAAGCAGGTACAACTGTACTGACTTCCATGGCGTTATAGCCTGCTTACACCAGGGTAGAACACAGTCCACTGACTATGGAAGATGTAGACAGGAGACTAGGTAGAAGTTTCCATCATATTTTAACAATTGTTGAATTCATTTTTCACTTTAAAACTTAAACAAGATAGGCAGCCAATTAATGCAGTGAAGCCCTGATGTAATCAAGTGCTTTCCTTTAATAGGTACAATATTATTAACATTTCATAATGTACATCAATACAACTACTCCAAATATGAGGACAAATACACATACAACAGGGGGTAATGGGCTATAGAATATATTATATTATATACCAAATTCATATAGCTCTACTTCAGACTTACACTTCATACCCACTCACCAAAAAACAAAACCAAAACACATCTGACAAAAAAAAGCACATGCACTGAAGTTCAGCTTGCTCATACCGGATGAAGAGTTCATTACACGTAAGGATATCACAGTATCGCAGAACCACTGGGACTAAAGCTGGTCAGAAATCGGAACTTTTGTCCTGCAGGAAATTCTGATATTTCAACATTGTTTTTTTGTCTCAAAACAGGATGAAAAGTCAAAATTGCTACAATTTTCAGAGAACGAAAAGTTCCAAAAAATTTCTATTTGGAAACATTTTGTTTCAGTTTGACATTGAACTGCATCTTTCTGAGCTGCTTGTGCCTCAAAGGAATTGTAGTTTGGATGCCTCATGCCCCCATTCTCGTCTATGAGCCAGATTCCTCAGCGAAACTACATCTCCCGTGATACACTATGGCAGTTCAGCCAGAGCGGAAACTGAAGAGCATCATGGGAGATATAGTCCAGCTGAGAAGCCTGAATCAGAGAGTAGAATGAGGAAGACCTGAATTACAACTTCAATGAAGTACCATGGTAGCTCAGGTGGATGCAGATTAAGATTGCAACGACTCAAAAACGTTTTGATTCTGTTCAATAAATGGAAATATTTTGATACCCCAAAGATCTTTCCCCCCACAATTTTCCATTGTGAAAAAATTCAAGAAAAAAGAAATCAGTAATTTTGTGAAAACTACGTTTTTCCATTAAAAAAACCCCAACAATAATAATTTAGATACAAAATTCCAAGCAGCTCTAACTGGGACTAGTCTGTTACCTGAGGTTTCAAGGAGCATAAGAAGAGGTGCTATGAAAGGACAGTTCTGTGGCCACTGCAGAAGAGGCTGTAGGTATTTCAGCTACTTCCCCTCCACCCCATGTAATTCAAGGTTCCCTCTCTGATGCCCTTATTTCTCTCCCCACATTCATAAATACTGTCCCATTATGTTAATAATGTCATCAATCTCTTGGGTTATTGTCAAGGTTCCTTCCCCACTCTGAACGCCAGGGTACAGATGTGGGGACCTGCATGAAAACCTCCTAAGCTTACTTTTACCAGCTTAGGTTAAAACTTCCTCAAGGTACAAATTAATTTTACCCTTTGCCCTTCGACTTTCGCTGCCACCACCAAACGTCTAACACCGGTATTATTATTATTAGGAAAGAGTTCGTTTGGAAACGTCTTTCCCCCCCAAATCCTCCCAAATCTTACCCCCTTTTTTCTGGGGAAGGTTTGATAAAAATCCTCACCAATTTGCATAGGTGACCACAGACCCAAACCCTTGGATCTTAAGAACAATGAAAAAAGCATTTAGTTTCTTAAAAGAAGAATTTTAATAGAAGAAAAAGTAAAAAAGAATCACCTCTGTAAAATCAGGATGGTAACTACCTTACAGGGTAATTAGATTCAAAACATAGAGAATCCCTCTAGGCAAAACCTTAAGTTACAAAAAGACACAAAAACAGGAATATCCATTCCATTCAGCACAGCTTATTTTCTCAGCTATTTAAACAAACAGAACCTAACGCATATCTAGCTAGATTACTTACTAAGTTCTAAGACTCCATTCCTGTTCTGTCCCCGGCAAAAGCATCACACAGACAGACCCAGACCCTTTGTTTCTCCCCCCCCTCCAGGTTTGAAAGTATCTTGTCTCCTCATTGGTCACTGTGGTCAGGTGCCAGCGAGGTTATCCTAGCTTCTTAACCCTTTACAGGTGAAAGGGTTTTTCCTCTGCCCAGGAGGGATTTTAAAGGGGTTTACCCTTCCCCTTATATTTATGACAGTTATGAAGTGTGTGAGTGCTAGTTATACAGCTTAAAACATCAAGAGCAGGTTTAAACTTGCACTCACTAGTTTTTTGAATATTTGTAAATTCTAATATGTGATTCATTAATTTATTCAACTTGCTTATTTGAGCCAAATGTTACCTTTTTCCTGTATCCTCTCTTCTTCTGAATAGGACGCCCACATTGTCTTATCCCTTATACCCCTTATATTTCCGACATCCAGTCAAAACTCAATATGACTGAATAGAATACCAGTTTTGAGATGGGAAAACCAACTTTGTCCAACTTCTCCATTTAAACAGTCTAAAAATCAGAATCCTGTAGGGCAAAAGCCGAGGCACAGTAGAGTGGATAAGACTAATGCATGTACTCACAGGTATTCGCAAAGCGCCTATGAAGCTTACAGCTGACATTCTAGTTCCACCTTCCCCAGTGACTGCAAAATTATGGTTCAGTGGCACTGTGCAGTTCTCTCTGTCTGGAAGCAAACACTGCATCGCTGGATCCTACAGACAGTTTCCCACCACCACAAAAAGAAAAGTAAATACATTAAAAATGTATGTATCAAACAACCAAGTCATTCACATGTCTCGTGACTTTACTTTTTGTACTACAGAAAGTGATTCACTGATTCTGAAATCTTTAGTGAAAAAAGCACTATTGTTTAGGGCTGCATGCATTTACTTCTGAAGTCAAAGCACTACAGTGTCTGTATTGTGAGCAGATTTCAAATTGCAAAACCACTACACATCATAGCGTGCCCTGAATGGAACCCAGCTATTGGAAATTGACTTATTTCTTCTACTTTTCATGGCTCCTCCCCATCCACCATTCAAATGTGGTCTCACTAGTTGGAGTTGAAAACACTTCTTGGTTAACATACTGAAGATATCACTGACATTACCTGGCTTCTATATAAATATTAAGCTGATTTTTCAGAATTTCTGTCCCTTGTATCTTCACATTCATCACTTTAAGTAGGGATCATTTGTACTGTTCAGGTATGCATAGCATATGTTTAGTTTTAAGAGACTCATGAGTTTGTTTTGTTCCTCACCTCCAGTTTTCAGTCTTACTCATTCATGCAGTGACACCTATGAATTAAATCATTATCATCGAAGGACTAGATTCTGATGTTTTACACTGAGTAGTACCTTACTCCACCTGACTTCAATAGCAGTGGCATCAATTACAGAGGGTGGCGGGGGGAAGTGAGAGCAAATCCCCCCCCCCTCACCAAAACGCTTTTTGCACTTGCTCAAAGTTCCATAGGCCATGGAGCAGGGGGGCCATGGCCCAACCACCTTTAAGCAGCTGGCTCATACTAAACAACTACCGCTGCTGCCAGAGGGGTCTGGACCAACACCCCAGCTGTGTAGTCACATTGCCACTAAAGTTTGACCTGGCCTCCCCTCTGTACACATGAAGGGGTGGCCAGGCCAGGTTTCAGTGAATGGTGTTGCAACCTGGAGCATAGGGTTACCACGCCATTGAAACTTTGGAGGAGCGGCAGAGCGAAATGATGTGGTGACCTGGCGCACCAGGAGCCTCTTCCTGTACAGCAGAGTGCAGGGGAGCCCACCGAGAACTCAGACTGGCTCATGCACTGTGTGGTAAGAGAGGGGTACACTCCCTGGCTGAGGGAAACCTGGGGTCCCTTCAGGAGGAGGGGGTTGGGTAGGGACCATAATTTGATCGTTCTCCCTTGGAAGTATCTGATTTGGCACCTCTGTTCAACAGTGCTGTTGGGGTAAAGTGCTATTCAATATGAATAGGGCTTGGAATCCGTGCCTAAATGCAGCAAGCCAATTAGCCAGAGATTACATTGAACCAAAACCTCTCACGTGCTTTCCCCTGAATCTTGGGGAAGTTCAGACCTAAATCCAAGATTCACCACTCGCTTCCATGTGGGGTGGCAGAAATTTTGGACACACAGCTGTCACGGTCCATCAAAACTCTTTTGCCAGCTAGTAAAAATGAGAGGTTCAGCAGCTGTAGCAACCCAGTATTTCACCTGCACCCTGTGCCACTGTCACACTTTAAGATGACATATCAGTGCTTCTCTTTTTAGCTGCAAGAGGATTTTAATGTACGTTCATCCTTCATCAAGATTTAATGTAAACGTGTGATAGTTAGGAGAAGAGCTTAATACTACCAGGTTTATTTGAATCTAAGCTTTATTTGAATCCTAGGAAACGCACATTAACCCTAACAGATTTGACAGCAAGCATCCCAGTGCTGCTCAGCCAGTGTTCATCCGTCATGATCAAGATGGAACACCTCTCAGGGTGAAAGGATAAAGTCTCCTGATCCATTCAATCTATAGCCTCTCCGCACAAACTGACAAGAGTGCCCATTACTGAGAGTTATGATTAGAGCTGGCAGAGCAAATTACAGCCAACAGTTTATTTTCAGATTTCAGCTCTTTGTGTTTATAAATTGTCCAAAAACAGCTTATGAGATTCAAGACTCTTGCCATTATTTTAAAATTATTCAGAGCATAATACTGGCAAGTAACATCTGGGCTGTAGGTTGTACTCAAACAGTTCATTGTAGACAGTGAATATACTTAGTTCAGAATGCTTTGGTTAATTTTGATTGAACACATAGGTGACAAGTAGAACTGGTTGAAGTTTGGTGTGTGGAAAGTTTTCTTACCTAAAAATATGATTTTGCCATTGAAACTGAATTTTTGGGGGAGAAAATAATCAATTCTGAGAAACAATTTTCACCACAGGAAGACGTGAAAATAAAAAGTAGTTAGAGTCAAATCAACATTTTGAAATGAAATGAAGATTTTTGTTTTGTTCTGGTCACAAGGTATTTCTATTCTCTGAAGAGACAAATCCAGAATCAGGTTTCTGGTGTGAATACCAGTACTGATTTACAAATGTAAAGTTTGCTCCTGCCAATGACCTCTAAGGGTATGTCTACACTACGGAATAAGGTCGAATTTATAGAAGTCGGTTTTTTAGAAATCGGTTTTATATATTCGAGTGTGTGTGTCCCCACAGAAAATGCTCTAAGTGCATTAGGTGCATTAACTCGGCGGAGTGCTTCCACAGTACCAAGGCTAGAGTCGACTTCCGGAGCGTTGCACTGTGGGTAGCTATCCCACAGTTCCCGCAGTCTCCGCTGCCCATTGGAATTCTGGCTTGAGATCCCAATGCCTGATGGGGCTAAAACATTGTTGCGGGTGGTTCTGGGTACATATCGTCAGGCTCCCCTTCCCTCCCTCCCTCCGTGAAAGCAAGGGCAGACAATCGTTTCGCGCCTTTTTTCCTGAGTTACCTGTGCAGACGCCATACCACGGCAAGCATGGAGCCCGCTCAGGTAACCGTCACCGTATGTCTCCTGGGTGCTGGCAGACGCGGTACGGCATTGCTACACAGTAGCAGCAACCCATTGCCTTCTGGAAACAGACAGTGCAATATGACTGGTAGCCGTCATCGTCGTGTCCGAGGTGCTCCTGGCCACGTCGGCTGGGAGCGCCTGGGCAGACGTGGGCACAGGGACTAAATTTGGAGTGACTTGACCAGGTCATTCTCTTTAGTCCTGCAGTCAGTCCTATTGAACCGTCTTATGGTGAGCAGGCAGGCGATACGGATTGCTAGCAGTCGTACTGTACCATCTTCTGCCGGACAGGCAAGAGATGAGGATGGCTAGCAGTCGTATTGTACCATCTTCTGCTGGGCAGGCAAGAGATGAGGATGACATGCAGTCCTTCTGCACCGTCTGCTGCCAGCCAAAGATGTAAAAGATAGATGGAGTGGATCAAAACAAGTAATAGACCAGATTTGTTTTGTACTCATTTGCTTCCCCCCCTCCCCTGTCTAGGGGACTCATTCCTCTAGGTCACACTGTAGTCACTCACAGAGAAGGTGCAGCGAGGTAAATCTAGCCATGTATCAATCAGAGGCCAGACTAACCTCCTTGTTCCAATAAGAACAATAACTTAGGTGCACCATTTCTTATTGGAACCCTCCATGAAGTCCTGCCTGAAATACTCCTTGATGTAAAGCCACCCCCTTTGTTGATTTTAGCTCCCTGAAGCCAACCCTGTAAGCTGTGTCGTCAGTCGCCCCTCCCTCCGTCAGAGCAACGGCAGACAATCGTTCCGCGCCTTTTTTCTGTGCAGATGCCATACCAAGGCAAGCATGGAGGCCGCTCAGCTCACTTTGGCAATTAGGAGCACATTAAACACCACACGCGTTATCCAGCAGTATAAGCAGCACCAGAACCTGGCAAAGCGATACCGGGCGAGGAGGCGACGTCAGTGCAGTCACGTGAGTGATCAGGACATGGACACAGATTTCTCTGAAAGCATGGGCCCTGCCAATGCATGCATCATGGTGCTAATGGGGCAGGTTCATGCTGTGGAACGCCGATTCTGGGCTCGGGAAACAAGCACAGACTGGTGGGACCCCATAGTGTTGCAGGTCTGGGACGATTCCCAGTGGCTGCGAAACTTTCGCATGTGTAAGGGCACTTTCATGGAACTTTGTGACTTGCTTTCCCCTGCCCTTAAGCGCATTAATACCAAGATGAGAGCAGCCCTCACAGTTGAGAGGCGAGTGGCGACAGCCCTGTGGAAGCTTGCAATGCCAGACAGCTACCGGTCAGTTGGGAATCAATTTGGAGTGGGCAAATCTACTGTTGGGGCTGCTGTGATGCAAGTAGCCCACGCAATCAAAGATCTGCTGATATCAAGGGTAGTGACCCTGGGAAATGTGCAGGTCATAGTGGATGGCTTTGCTGCAATGGGATTCCCTAACTGTGGTGGGGCCATAGACGGAACCCATATCCCTATCTTGGCACCGGAGCACCAAGCCGCCGAGTACATAAACCGCAAGGGGTACTTTTCAATAGTGCTGCAAGCTCTGGTGGATCACAAGGGACGTTTCACCAACATCAACGTGGGATGGCCGGGAAAGGTACATGATGCTCGCATCTTCAGGAACTCTGGTCTGTTTCAAAAGCTGCAGGAAGGGACTTTATTCCCAGACCAGAAAATAACTGTTGGGGACGTTGAAATGCCTATATGTATCCTTGGGGACCCAGCCTACCCCTTAATGCCATGGCTCATGAAGCCGTACACAGGCAGCCTGGATAGTAGTCAGGAGATGTTCAACTACAGGCTGAGCAAGTGCAGAATGGTGGTAGAATGCGCATTTGGACGTTTAAAGGCGCGCTGGTGCAGTTTACTGACTCGCTTAGACCTCAGCGAAACCAATATTCCCACTGTTATTACTGCTTGCTGTGTGCTCCACAATATCTGTGAGAGTAAGGGGGAGACGTTTATGGCTGGGTGGGAGGTTGAGGCAAATCGCCTGGCTGCTGGTTATGCGCAGCCAGACACCAGGGCGGTTAGAAGAGCACAGGAGGGCACGGTGCGCATCAGAGAAGCTTTGAAAACCAGTTTCATGACTGGCCAGGCTACGGTGTGAAAGTTCTGTTTGTTTCTCCTTGATGAAACCCCCCGCTCCTTGACTCACTCTCCTTCCCT